CAGCCAACGCCCCGCGTGCCTCGCCCGATCTCTCACGCCCAAGCCCGAGCTCCTGCCAAGCTGCACGTCACACTACTACCATCAACCTGCATCGGCCTCGCAGCCGCTCGCCTGGCTGGGTTGACCCACATGTCTGCTGCAGCCTCAACCAGTCACTTCTCGTGGGTCGCGTCCTGCCAATCCAGCCGAGCTCTGCCAGCGCTGCAGCCTGTCCCAACCTAGCCAACCTGCACCCATGGCCCGATAATACCCCCCCACACACAGGAAAAGCCACGCACTTTCGCGGACGCCCCTATTCCTTGCATTAAGCCAGACGAGAGGGGTGCTCACTATGAATCGATCCTGGGATCGATTGGTTGCTTCCGAGAGCTGCTAGCCACTGCTAGCCACTTCGACAGACTCGACTTGTTGTACACGATGGAGAGCGTGACCTACTAGAAGAAAGATGAGCCTCATTTCACCATACTTACTTTCTTTCCTTGTTTTTACTTTAGTTTTCTTTTTCTTCATTTTTACTCGTCTAATTCAACATGCCTTTTCTATGTTTTTTCTTTTTACTCAGTTTTCCCATGATTTTCCCGAAATAATATCGGTTAACAAACACAAAAAATACCGGATAAGCATTAAAATGTTGAACGAGTATTGAAAAGATGTTGAATAACTATTAAAAAATGTTGAACTAGTATTTTAAAAATGGTGAATAAGTATTTGAAAATATTGAACAACTGTTAAAAAGTTGAACAAGTATTTGACAAATATTGAATAGGTATTAAGAATTTTTGAACGAGTATTTAAAATGTGTTGAACATATTTTTTAAAAATATTGAATAAGTATTAAAAATGTTGAATAACTATTAAAAATAGTATTTAGGTCATTGAAAATGTTGAATAAGTATTAAAAGTAGTATTTAGGTCATTGAAAATGTTGAATAAGTATTAAAAAATGTTGAACGACTACTTTAAAAACGTTCAACATGTATTTGAAAAATATTGAATAAGTATTAAAATGTTAAACAAGTATTTAAAAAATGTTGAATAACTGTTCGGACAATGTTGAACTCGTATACACAAAATGTTGATCACTTAGTAAAAACTATTTTTGACATATATGAAAATGTAGAGTAAAAATGATAGCTATTACCTACAAAAGAAAAAAAAATGAAGAAGGAATGTTAGACGTGTATTTGAAAAATATTGTTGACATATGCAAAAAATGTAGAATAATGACCGAAAGAACAAACAAAACCGAAAAAAGAAACAAAAGAAAAAATAAAATAAAATAATGCAATGAAAGAAGGAAAAAATGGTGAAGAAAAAAAAAGAAACAAAAGAAAACAAAAAGAAACAAAGAAAACCGGCTCGAATCCTTAAGTAGGGCACAGCGTTTTATCTACCACGGATGGGGCCTAGCGCAGGGCTAGCAGCGCCTAGTATCTACTGGGAGACCACAGATCAATTCCCACATATCCTATTTCATCTCTATTATTCTTTGTTCTGCGCGTGCGAATTCGTTGGCCCAATACAATGTGAGGAAGGAGAATCCTTCAGCGAGATCTGACGCCTGCATCGCTTAATGCGATAAATAGTCGTTGCGGACTTTCATGGACTACGATGCAGGCGCTTCCTATTTGACGCTTCAGGCGCCCATTACTATGTATTTTACAAACACCACTAGCTGTGCTAGCCATCCCACCATGGTCACCTAATGCACTGTATTACATCATCTTCCCTCTTTTCTTCTTTATTCCTTTATTTTTCTTATTTTTCTTTCTCCTTCCTTTTCTTGTTCTATTAAATTTGTCATTGGAAAGTTTTTTTCTTCTTATTATTATTATTTCCATTATTTCATTCTCTTGAAAAATTTGACATTTTCTTGAATTGATGAACTTTTTTTCAAAATTGATGAACCTTTTTTTAATATTAATGACCTTTTTCCAAAATAAATGATTTTGTTTTTCAAAATGGATGAACCTTTTTTAAATTCGTGTTTAAAAAAAATCATGAACTCTTTTAAAATTGATGAACTTCTTTTTAAAATTGATGAATCTTTTTAGAATCGATGAACTTTTTTCAAATTTAATGAATTTGTTTTTTCAAATTCAGTGATCTTTTTTTAAATCGATGAACTCTTTTTTTCCA